TGATGAAGTATTGAATTAGAAGAAAAAATTAATAGATTGTTATATGCATTATGAGAAAATCAGGAGACCAGTATTTTGTCAAGATCCTCCAGTTAAATCATCAAGAGAATTATAAAATGCGGAACTTACTTTGATTAATTGGGAATGATTTTTAATACTGGATCTTGAATTACGTGTTTTTGATCATGGCTTCCTGATCTGATTGATTGTTCTTAATTCTTGATTTGTTGCGGGTTCTTGATCTTAATCTTCATCTTCAATATACTTCCTCTTATTATTCTTATACTGATGAGATGACACATAGAATTAGAATTACATATAAATTGGGGGTCATAACCCTATTCTAAAGAGTTTGGTCTCTACACATATTTAGACACATACCATATTTAGATGCCTAAAGCTCATAAATTTAATTTTTTATCATATCATTTTAATTGGGCTTAACATTAAGATAGTCTTTAATATATACTTAATTACATATGAAGGTCTACATGACAAATTAAAACCCAACATGATATAATATAATTGTTAATAATAAATATTCGATATCATATAAGTACTTGATATACACGAGTTAAAGCTACTATTCTTAATAATGTCAACATTTTTAACACGAGATTATAAACCTAAATATGATATAAAGACCATTAAACTCAAACGAAGAATTTAATCTGACTAAGACGAAAACAAATATACGAGTTCAAGATTGATATGCTCAACGAGACCTATCTTGTACGGATATGTTAAGAGTAAGTAAAATATCTCACATCGAATAAAAACTTCACCTCTTTACAACATCATTAATAGACTCTTTATTTTTAAAGCGTACCTTGATCATAATAGAACACATTTTTAAATCTAAAGAATAAAACTTTTTATACACTATAGCTAATTTTTTGTTTTTGTCTTTATTTTACTTTTCCTAATATTCAGTATTGTTTTCCCCTTTTTTTCAATTAATAAATATATTTTTACATATCAATAGCTAAAATACGCAACATAATATATCATTAAATAGTTGAGCATTGAAACTTGCAAATTTATTAAATGCAATATTTAAAAAATTACGAGTTTATTTATTTAAAAAGTATGTCGAAGATGCTACAATAAGGTTAATATTTTAAAATAAAATTTAAATCTCGACAATACACACAAATGGTTCACAACAACTCATTTGATTATTAAAGAATTTAATTGTGAAGACTCGGTTTGGGAAGAATATATAAACAGATTGTAAATAAATAGAAATGAGCGTGAATGAGTTCATTAAAATACGTGGTTGAAAATAATGTTTGACTATTTATAAATAATTTAAAATGTTGTCCAATGGAGAATAAATAAGGGATTGAGTTCTTTGAGTAACTGCATTCGACTATTCGAGAGGGATATTCTTAGTTATTAACAATTTATAAAAAGGAAAAGTAGTGATCTCACGAAATGTGTAGATAATTAATAATAATTATAAATGTGTGATTGAAATTAATGTTTACATTGCTTGTCAACTATTATTAATTTATTATCTATACATTTTGTGGAATACAATACTCTTCTCTTATTAATTAAATTATAAATTGGTCAAGCGAAGACTTCGACTCAATTTATAAATAATTTATAGATGATATCCAAATGGAAGCTTAATATTTTACAAGAACTAAAGTAAATAGTATTTTGAAAATTTTAATCTTGATTTAGCACTTATTTGATAAAGATTTTTGAGAAATGTTTATTTTTTTAGATGTGATTAAAAAATAGGAAAACGTTATAAAAAAATGTGAAAATAATTTTTACTTTATTTATTTATTTTTGTTAAGAATGTATAATTAAAAGTAAGTGTGAATCAAACAAATGTGTGGATTCCTATGTGCCCCTATCTTCTAGTTTTTCAATCTTTCATTTTCTATGTTCAATTTTTGTTATCTACCGACAAAGTAAACCGGACATGGTTTGATTTATCTAGTTAGATGGATATATAGAAGTGACAACACAATCAATGAGTTGAAACTCACATAATTTTTTTTTTTTCCTTTTTAGTTTTAAATAATTTACAAAATATAAATTCAATGAAAATAAGTTTATTATTTAGGTTTTTGTGCGATTGGAGTATGTTCTTTAGAAGTTGCAAAGAGTGTTCTACATTTTATTTCCATTATGATTATGGCGTGAAAGTAGAGGTGGGTACGATTAAAGAAATGTCTCCACAGGAACTAATGCTAGGGCACGATGTTTAGGCCACCAATCAAGTTCTATCTCTATTAGTAAACGGTGACATAGTGCATAGAAGATTTATTTATCGCTAAAATGCGAAGCTGAAACTTATTGAGAATGTATCGAGACACATG